GGTTCTTATTCAACCGTCAGTTGGTGGTGAGTTACATTACCAATGCCTATCGGATAATTCGAAATATTCCCGGTATCTGGGCCAAAATTCGCAGCAACTGGGTACGTCGCTGTTAGTGTTGCATTGAAGCGAATGGCGGACAATTTAAACATTTTTTAAAAAAGGTACGCATTTCTTTTTCACTTTTACCTATTTTTACAAGGTGGAAGTGCATTCGGCTTCTTCCCGGGAGGTACTTGTTACACCCACACTAGATCAGCTGAGCGACATTGGTCGACTAGATCCAGGTCCGTAATGAAACAAATTGTACGTTCAAATTTACAAAGACGATTTGCGAGCTCAATTGTCACTGGATTGAAAAATTGTATAACACTTTTTTGTTGTATTTTGTGTCAGGAAGCCATGGTTTTTTTTTTATTATAACTGGGACACCCTGTATAGATTCACCATCTGCCTATCTTAACATCTGTTTCTTTTTGTAATGTCTCCAACTAGACCTTAATGCCTGAAAAGCTGTCCCACCAAACCATTTCTCATTGCCTTCTTTCTATTCTCCTAATATTTCTCATACCCTCATTTCTAACCTTCTCTGTCCAAGGTATTTTTAACTTCAATAATACTCCAAATGAAAATATGAAATGCATACTAGTAATAATAATGGTTATTCTAATACAACAGTTATCAGTTTCCAGAATGTCATCAAAATTAATGCCTTCAATGGGCAGTTCCTTTATAGAGAGTAACAAATGCTTATCTTGATTAAACATAGGGTAATGACTAGTTTAAATCATACATGTAAACAACAAATACAAAGGATTCCCTGTATAAAATGCTAAACCAAATTTAAAGCAGAATAATACTGTTAATCAGTTACACAGAGATATTAATCACGACTTACTTTCTAGTGAATTTTTGACCACAGGTTTTACATTTGAATGCCTTTTCTTTGACTTCAGCATGTACTAAAATATGAATATTTAATTCATATTTGCATTTAAATTTTTAGGTGCCGCATTTTAAGCATTTCTATGACTTACATTAATTGTAAGCTCGATTTTACCTGCAGAAATATTATCTAGTACTTCCTTTTCTATTATATCTGATTTTAAAGGGTCAGTTTTTCTACTATCTTCTTTTTTAGAAAAACCCCATGTTTTGTCAATAAATCCACTTTCACTTGCAAGTTTATCGTTTTCTACTTCCCTTTTTATATTGGTTTCTTTATTTACATCACCTAAAAAAAAAACATTTTCTACAACTTCCTTTTTTCAGACAAACGCCAAGTTCTGTCAATAAGCTCAGTTTCACCTTCAGAAGTACAATTATCAATTAGTGCTTCCTTTTTTATGAAAACGGTCTCTCTTATTGTATCATCTGATTTTAAAAGCTCAGTTTTTCTATTATCTTCTTTTTCAGAAAAACGCCATGCTCTGTCGATAAGTTTAATTTCACTTACATAACTATTGTCTTCCACTTTTTTTTTTATATTAGTTTCTTCAATTATATCACCTATATTTAAAAGTTCATTTTTCGTTATACTTTCATTTTCAGAAAAACACCATCTTCTGTCAATATTGTAATTATCTTGAAATATTGTATTTTTCATTGTTAAACTGGAAATTTCTCCTCGTAGAGCCATAATTTACTGCATTTACTCATAATTTTTTGCAACCATTAGTTACAATTATTGTAAAAATCAAAACATTAAGAAAAAACATAACCTCCTGAGTTGTGTTAACGTACGGGCACAATCAGGGTATGAAATGTCGAGCGCGAGCGACACCTAAGTTTACCCCACGTAAGTTTTTAAATTTTTTAAATTACCAAAATCGACATTACCGACATACTAGGCGACATACATTTTACTGAAACGACAACAGATGATGCGACGGCGGTTGCGATTATCGGAGGAATTCCCCAGTAGTTGTGGCGTTATTGAGCAATAGTGAGTAGTTTCACAACTTGTAATATTTTAAAATTTTTGTGAAAAGTACTTTTACCTATCCTGAAAGTAAGTAATATATTAAGTACTTCAATCATGCTTTACAATAAGTAAAGAAAGGATGTTTTCTGCCCAACACAGAAAAACCGTGATGTACAGTCTACACTATTACGGGGTCAAATTAATTTGAAATAGATTATACAGCTCCTGCAGGAGTTAAAGGTCAAGAAGCCGCTTTCCATTTTCCTGAAGTAACAGCGGTTTCAACGAAAGTGGCAGGTATTGTAATTTGTTGTTGTGAAACTTAAGTTCTAAAAAAAAATGTTTTGTAGAACTTCTTCTGGTAGAGGAATAGAAGCAGACGGAATTGCCCCATTAAAAGATGAAAAAGTACTGCATCCAGTGAAAACATATGACGGGAAAAGAAGAATTGTTTCAACTGCAGGTAGTTATGCAGATAACAGTTTCAAATATCCAAAACATATATAATTATTTGTTATAGAAAGTACACTCCCAATGGACAATACAGAAGCTAGTATTTCTGCAGTTTCTGAATCGTTAGCACCCCCTGTAGAAGCAGGAAGCAGTACTAAATTAGGTAAAGAACAATTTCTTTGTTCATACAAATATACCTGTATTAGTATCTATATTTTAATTAATTGATGTTTGCTATTTACTCGTATATTGTGCTAATTATATTTATTACTGCATTTATACTTTGTTATTAAATTTGTTAATTTTATTTTTGTTTTTTTTTTCAATTTCCATTTAAAACAAAAAAAAATAAAATTTGGTGTAATTTTGAAATGCGCGCCTTTGGTTACGCTTCATAGTGTTATGTATAGATGGCAGTGAAATTCGAAGTTTTCTTTGCCAATACCATTTATATATATATTCCAAGTATCGTCTACTAATGTGGGGTAAACTTAGATGTCACTACTATCGTCCAAATCTCGAGAGTTTTACATCTATTTACCTAGTCTAGGGGCACAATTCACTGGGAAGAGCATAACCATAGATATAGATCTACAAAGTGTAATAGATGGTCAACTCGAAACGCGCCGATTTGCGCGCCCTCCGGCAGGTTTAGTCACAACTAAATCAAAAAGGCGTGCACTTTAAATGTGCTAGTTATTTACTGTTTTTCGTAATGTGCAAGTTAAAGTGAAAAATGGATAAGAAACAATGTAATTTCCTTTTTTATAAAAGAAAACACATTGTTTCTTTGTAAAAAAGGAAATACATTGTTACTTGTCCATTTTTCACCTTAACATAAAAACTTGCGAATTTATAAGTGTAAAAGTAATAATAAGTGAAAGAATAGTAAAAGAAATTTATTGAATGTAACAAATAAACTTGTACAAAATAAATTATTATGTAACTTCAACAGACAATCGGCCAAATAGAAAAGGCCACAAAATAGAAGAAACAGTAATACAGTTTAACTTAATAGTAACATTAAATTTTTAACAACTTTCAGTAGATAACTAAAACCTTTCAATAATGTACTATAAACATTTTCAACACAATTTTAATTAAATATTACTAAGATAATTATTAATGAAGGTAAAAAATCGTTAAGTTGTGGCAACTTACGTGTTCAGAT